TGGAGGTATTGAATGTGATTTATTATATTGTCTTGTTATTTTGTGTAATTAGTTGTTCGTTATTTATCACACATTTTCGCATAATTGTACCAAACTACTAAGTATTAGCTGTTTACAGCAATCATCGGTGGCTTGCTATTTTGTTACTTTATCGACGCTTCATAAACCAATCGTTATTGTTTCAAGATGGAGGGTAAATGTGTTGGAGAAGGGTGTCAAGTATACTTCAAGAAACGTAGTGGCAATAAGAACAGAAGTGCACGCAATGTAAATAGTCCACAATATAAATGGCTCCTAGATACGCTGGTGCAACAAGGATTGATGTCAGCAAAGGAACAAGCACTTATTTGCCAGAAGTGCTACATGAAGTATCTTCGGAACAAAAATCAGCCTGAACCTGAACCCGAGCAGAACCAGGAAATAGAGGAAGAAGACGACTCCCCGTCCCATATCCTGCCGTTGCTGACCCTTCATGATCTTTTGAATGGATCATCTTCACACAAAAAATGCTGTCTCTGTCTTGTTACCTTTGCAAGAAATGGAACAAAATCATCAGTCTTACCAAAACGTGCAAGACATCACCTGATCTATTCACACAAACTGTGGTGTCCCACCTCATCCCGCGTCTGCTCCATTCACCTTATTGGTAACGACTTAGATCCGTCTACAGAGGTTGTCCTTGATGGTAGAGGTTCCTTGGAATCTCAGTTACCATCAAAATCGTCCGAAATCATTAATGACCTCCTAGAGGTGTCGCACGTCCTTTCACAGAACCAGTCTGCGTTTACAATAAGCTTTTCTTCTCTTGATGACTCGGCATGCATGGCCTGGACAGGTTGGTCCAAAGATCAGTTCCTCGAAATCCACTCGCACTGTTCCCCATATCTTTCATCTGGTATATATACCAAGACTACACACGATGCTCTATTACTGTTCTGGGTAAAACTGAAAACCGACATTTCCTGGAGTCAGTGTTCTTCTCTTTTTGGAATTTCCAAGTCAAGTGTGTCCAAAACTTTCCACTCCATAGTACAGGCATTAGACACATCGATAGTCCCACAATTTCTAGGTCCGGATCACTTGACAAGAGAACAGTTGCTCGGGCACAATACTGTCTTTTCAGAAGCATTTTTTGGAGATAAAGCCACTGCCATATTAGATGGCACCTATATTTATATCCAGAAAAGCTCCGACCACAAGCTCCAGAGAATGTCCTACTGTGGCCAGAAGAAGAGAAACTATCTCAAATTCATGAGCATCGCCTTACCAGATGGCTACATTCTGGACACAGTAGGACCATTCACTGGCAGCGAAAATGATGCTACAATTACAAAAAAAGTCATGGACAAGCTAGTTACTTGGCTACAACCAGACGACAACGTTGTCGTTGACCGAGGTTTTAGAGATGTCCTACCAGTTCTCGAAGCCTCTGGCCTCAATGCTAGCATGCCGTCATACCTGAAACCCGGTCAAAGTCAACATTCTGACGTCCAAGCAAATCTTGACAGAACTATCACCAAATCGAGGTGGATTGTGGAATCCTATCATGGTCGTCTGAAACACTGGACGTTCTTCCGAACGCAATTGGTGTCTAACAGCTTTATCAATGTCATCGAGGCTTTGCTTCGAACCGTCACAGCCTGTCTGAATGGTATTAGAGGACCGATCTACCAGAGATCTCCAGAGAGAGATGCCAAAGATAGGCTAATGGCTGAACGTATGAAGGACCGTTTGACAACACCGAATGGTTTAGCTCAGAGAGTCAAGACAGATCCGGATCTATCTAGACGGGCAAGGTCCGAGTTTGTCAAGATGGATGCATCTTCCGTACTGTTTCCCCGTCTCGATCTTGATTACTTGAGAACCATTACGTGTGGAACGTATCAGATATCTCTGGCTCCTGGTTACATCGCCGAACATTTAAGTGATGACGGAGACTATGAGGTGTGGCTTTACCAGCACTCCCCAGACCTTCTCCGATGTCAAATACATTCTCGACACAAAAGCCAAACGAAATATAACGTTTGGATACGGTTCACCGTTTCACCCGATGTTGAGGCCCCAATAAAGGACTACTACTGCCAGTGCCCAGTTGGAGAGAGAACGATGGGAATGTGTGCGCACATCTCCAGTATCTTGTACTACCTTGGGTATTACAGGACGCTGGAAAACCCTCGACCATTACAACCACAGGTAAAGAAATTCCGACAAAACTTGAAATAGTTTTCCATGCGGCAACGGAGTGCATATGTCGAAAGTATGTTTGGGGCTCGATATGAAAGATCCCCGTTACCATGTGACTAACCAAACTTATAAATATAGGTATTATACAATCGCCCGTAGCTATGAACACTCCCGTAAATGCGAAAACCAACCAAAATCATAAGGAACACGTTTTGTTTGTTGTTCTGTCTATTTGTCAGCCAATGTCTTCAACCACGGGGACTTGTGAAGTAGCCATCTTGGATTTTTTTTATGAAAAAGTGTTTCTCTCACTTTTTTTCATATCTGTGTACATATTCTCAACATACCGAGCAAATACTCTCGTTTTTTTGTTAATTATCTAAAGAAAGTCGAAAATCGGCAATTCAACCATAGGCTAATTCAACCCAACATTTGAAAATGTTCCACCACTTACATTTTGATGATTTTTCCTCTCATCAATAGCATATTACGTACTGTTTAATAGGATAAAAATTGGTTTGCATCCAACGCCCATAAAAGGGTGTATTCTCTAAAAAACACAGTTTTTGTGTCTAAAATGTTATCATCGAAAATGGCATTTTTGAGATTGTTTCTTCCATAAAACAGCCAAATGGCGCGATGGAAACATGATTTTTTGTCACAATCATGCCATGAATGTATTCTTTACGGTGACCATCATTTGATTAGATTTTCATTAATATTTTACATAACATGCACATTTTATCAACACTTAGACAGCTTCTGAAAGGTACAACTTTGAGGAGCCATAAAAAACAAACCAAGTGACCTAAATCTTTATACTTTATAGATTTGTGACCACAACGGCATGGGCAATGCACCACCAACAGAAAATTTGAATCAGAGAAGGGGCCGTTTTGGAAACCAGCCCTTTGTCATATTTCTACTTTCTCATTGACAACCATATATTGTAAAAAATAACCTAGCTCTCATGTCAAACAACATAAAGCAGTCAAGCTGTTTATAAAAAAAAAAATCAACTTGTATTTCAGACATCCTCCATCATAGACTTGTTATATGTAAATTGAAAAAGCATGCCCATCTGAAATTGAGGAACTTGCTAAACTTATTTCTAACTTATCATAAAGTTCTATAGGACCAATACCTCGCTGTTCGTTTTCTATATGTACCTGCTAAATAACCTTTTATAAAAGGAGAAAAATCCCTGTTGCATAGCCGTCAAACCTCCCTCATTAGGAGGGAGACTCCCTCATTTTGACCAAAATTTACCATTCCTCCTCAAAACTCCCTCATTCAAGTCCAAACTCACACAAACTCAAAATCTACATCATGTGGTCAAATGATCTCCAAGTTACTACTGGATGTGTGTAATGATCATAACAGGTGTGTCTGAATCAAATGAATTCTTTTTGGAATTATTTGGACACATAAAAAAGGGAAAGATAAATTGAGCAAAGCAGTTTCAGTCACCCTTTAACACACTTTTTCCCTCATTGAAAATGTGGAATGAAGGAGATCTGCCTCATATGAATATAAATTTACATTTTTAACAGGTGAGAGAGAAATGCACCTCCAGATTGGGAACCTCCAATTCCAAGTCTTTGCCCCTGACAAGACAGCACTATTTACAACCCAGATTCTGGTATTCCCTTGCCAAGCATCCACCCTGGAGTGAGTGCTTGGAATAAGGGTTGGCAAGCTTGCCAATTTTGTAACAGGAGAAAGAGAAATGCATGACCAGATCAGGGTCGAACCAGTGACCCTCCAAACTCTAGATGGACACTCTACCAATTGAGCTATACATGTAGAATGTAGCATTTTAGATTGGTTTACTATACGTACCTGGTTGTCAGCGATTGACCGACAGTCCAGTTCTACTACATATATAAGTACATTATGAACTGTGAAGTACAAAGAGGCAAAACAGACTATTTTTCCCTATCTCATACTTTAATAGGTCTGTTATTTTTAAGGAATTACCTGGATGATAACACTATGATCATATGAACACTGGAGGGGTTAAAATCAGTTTCCTCCATTGAGACTTATAATTAATTAATTACCTGGTTGACATCAAGCCAGCTATGGTATGTGAACTATATATAATACTTATCCAGACCTAGATGGTATATGATGACCTAACAAATGAAGGTCAAGCCAACGTCATACCTTTCAAACATCCTGACCAGAAATACTTGAAGCCGTTAAATGCAATGTAGCTAATACATATACACAATGTGCAGTCCCATATTTTTATACATGTGTATGTGTGAATATACCAAGTTAACTAACTTGACCCATGTTTACAAATCCTCTTGGAGAAAGGAGATACCGTCCAAACAAAATCTTTCTTCTTGAACTTATTTCGTCTTCTTACAAACGAAGGAAACTGTAGTCCATAAAAATGGCAACGTTAGTTGCTGGCAACAAGCCATTAGATTTAGAATTTGAGTTTCAGTATTAATTTCATATGAACATTCCGACTGTTATCACTCCTGTTAAAATAAAGAAGGAAAGTAAAATCTAGTACTTCTTGCATATTAACAACATTTAAACTTACAAGCACGTGTTGATGTAACCATGGACGGCTACTTTCACTTTCATATGACGAATAAAGTTGGGAATCACTCTCACTATTTACTTTCGTATTATCGCTTTCCATATCCTGTTGATCCATGCGAACAGTCTCATATCACCTTTTCGAGCAATAATCGTTCAAAAGGAAATAATTTGGCGAAAATGATTTTGAAATCAGAGTAACTGTTAGATCCACAACATAGTGAACTCAAAATCACCAATAGAAACGCAAAATTTAGCCTCATTTTCGTACGAACATGGCGTCAAATTTGAACACACCAGCAGATTTCCTGACACGGAAAGGACAAGGTACGTATTACTACAACATAGATTGGTAACCGTATTTTTTATAGTATTTTCCTTCATTTTTTTAGGTATAAAGACGTCGTTTAACTGATTTTTATCGTCTGTATCACTCAGTTTTCATTAACCGAAAAATAAATTCATGCTCAGACTTGCCGTCGTGTGCACACCTGACTTTAATATTTAGAAGTAAAAATGATGACATGCATTAAGTAACCGAAGCCGACTCAATGATAAGTTGACATCTTATTATCTTTAGCATAAAATATATGTGTACAGAAGTAGGTCTCAAAGATAACCCCTCTCCGACTCTTGTAGTCTTGAGATCCATACAATGTATACATTTTTGTATCTTTCACCCAAGTTCGTTGATCTTGTGTTCATTAGGATCTGTACAATATACCTGCTTTTGAAGTATGTCAAATAAATATGAAAACAAATGATATGAAATTCAAATTATTTTTAACAAGGGTAAAGGATATATCAAAGCTGACAAAAGAAGTAATATTCCCAACTGTTTGTTGACGTTAAGTAAAGAATATGTGTCAGGTTTTAATAGTACATAGCTATAGGATTAAGGTCGCCTTCAAGCTTCGAGCTAGAGTGAATTTCCCTTTAGCTCAGGGGTAGAGCGTCCGACAAGGAACCTGGAGATTGAGTTTTCGATCCCCAGTGGAAGCACACTATTCTCTTTCCTATTATGGTGTCCGTGGTCCTCTCTGTGGTGACAGGGAGTTAGAACCTGGGTTTTGATATTCGAGGGCGAACATATTAAAAAAGGGGGAAGTAGTGCGGCAGGTTTTAATTGTACACTACGGATTAAGGTTGCCTTCTAGCTTCGAGCTAGAGGGAATTTCCCTTAAGTGCATGGTAGAGCGTCTGACTATAGCTAGGAACCTGGAGATCGAGGGTTTGATCCCCATTGCAAGCACACTATATATATTCTCTTTCCTGTTACAAATAATATCAGGTACATCAACAATGGCAATATCACAGAATAACTACTATCAGCAACATAGCCAAACATCTACAAGTGAGGCGGTATATGAATATATACATGTATAGATTATATTAAAGGACATTGCACATTTAAATTATTTGACTCTACTTGTACATTACAAGTACAAGCTAGTACCACATGTGCACTATGTTCCATATCCACTTTAATCAAATATCTAACAGGACATATAAGCTTCAATAATGAAGGCATGTCCTTACACCAAAGACCAAGAAGAACAACTTAGCTCACCAATGTGATCATCCTTAAGTATAAATCTAGCTGTCAGACTTAACTTACATAACATAATTTAGAGGTCTGTTTGCTGTACGGTGTACATGTACACCCCACCTGGAACATGACTTTATAAAAAAGCAATTTAGAAGATGAGCTGAGTCAATTTTTTTTAAATTCTCATGAAAGTTTAATTATCAACCAACTACACCGGCTCAAGATCACCATGTATGATAAATAAACCAATTATAACTTATAAACAAATAAAACTAAAGCTATCAGATTATAAATTATGCAAATCTTAATCAACTCTGCAATATATATATATAACCCTTAAACTAGAATGAGTAGTGAATAGCCAGGCAGACTCTCAAGAGCCTATGAGAAAACTACACTGCATTTCCACTTTGGAAAAAAATCGGATATTATTGATTATACATCTTTTGGTTCTAAAATAATTGTCAGAACACCTAGAGCACACCACCATTACAGGGAAAATCCTGGAAATTGAGAGCAGTGGGCCATTTCAGCAATTTTTAGTCAATATCAATATTAAGAGGGGCCATTCTAAATCAAATTAAAAGAAAATTGAAACATTGAGGGGTCAATTTCAGATATGATGGGTCAATGGCCCCATGGCCCCCTCCAGGTTTATAGAAAATAGCGTTTTTTCAAAATAATTCCCCTGTATGTTTTCTTTAAAGTCCAACAGTTAAAATGCATAATACTGCATATGTACATTTTCTTCACATAACTTAAACAAAAATTCTACAATTTTGAGCTTAAAATTGTTTATAAATTGAAATATACTGCACACATGTATGCAGGCTTTTAGCCAGGATTTTAAACCTACCTGTCCAAAAAGGTGATATTTAGCCCATTTTGACAAAACTGCCTGTCCAAAATTAAGTAAAATAGTAAGGATATATAGTGAGAAGTAGCCCTTCTAAATGGGCCTTTTTAAGAAAACCCCCCGTCCAAAAGACAGGCAGGCGGGTGGCTGGCTAATAACTAACCTGCATGTAATTCAGACAAAACATGACCTTCATGAGGCTAGAGCCTTGTATGAAATTTTTTAATTTTCCCCCAAATCTGAAAAAGGGTAGATTCCCCTAAAATCTAGACTGATCCCTGATTGGATATATGCATCACTTGCCTATATCTAGGACCCATATAAAGACACATAGATCTAATAGAACAAATTTAAAACAAGGCGGATCACTCAGATATATATATATGTGTTTTCAGCAGCTATACATATAAGATACCGAGTACAGTTTACATTTATGTTACCTGTATATAAGAACACAAATATTCTTCAGAGAACAAAATTTTACCTGCCTCGATCGTACTACTTAAAAAATAAGATACAATCACGTCTGTTTCTACATAAAACTTTCTCTGGCAATTAGACAGACAATCTCCAGGCTTCTGAGCATTGACTGATTGTACTGTTGTGTTGCAGACATGCAGACAAATGTCAAAGATACCAAGGTAGACCTACTGCCTCCCTCTGCGTTTGGGACAGCAGTCGGGAATAATGGTGGTTGGAAGGAGCTTGCTGAGGCAACCAAAGAAGTCTTACAACTCAAACTGGAGAACCAGAGGCTCAAGTAAGTACTTAAAATAAGTACATGTTCTCAACTCAAACTGGAGAACCAGAGGCTCAAGTAAGTATATACTTGGTAAATGTTCTCAACTCAAACTGGAGAACCAGAGGCTCAAGTAAGTACTTAAAATAAGTACATGTTCTCAACTCAAACTGGAGAACCAGAGGCTCAAGTAAGAACTTAGTAAATGTTTTCAACTCAAACTGGAGAATCAGAGGCTCAAGTAAGTACTTAGTAAATGTTCTCAACTCAAACTGGAGAATCAGAGGCTCAAGTAAAGTACATGTTCTCAACTCAAACTGGAGAACCAGAGGCTCAAGTAAAGTACATGTTCTCAACTCAAACTGTAGAATCAGAGGCTCAAGTAAGTATACTTAGTACATGTCGAGTTTTCATGATAGACTATGATCAGTCAGACACACAAAGTATATGGAGTGAGCCAAACTACATTTATTTCTGCCAATATTTCTATTGTGTCTCCGAAAAATAATTCTTAGTTTTCTGGTTATCACCCGATCTCAAACTGGAGAACCAGAGGCTCAAGTAAGTATATACTTGGTAAATGGTCTCAACTCAAACTGGAGAACCAGAGGCTCAAGTAAGAACTTAGTAAATGTTTTGAACTCAAACTGGAGAATCAGAGGCTCAAGTAAGTATATACTTGGTAAATGGTCTCAACTCAAACTGGAGAACCAGAGGCTCAAGTAAGGACTTAGTAAATGTTCTCAACTCAAATTGGAGAATCAGAGGCTCAAGTAAGGACTTAGTAAATTTTCTCAACTCAAACTGGAGAACCAGAGGCTCAAGTAAGGACTTAGTAAATGTTCTCAACTTAAACTGGAGAATCAGAGGCTCAAGTAAGTATACTTAGTAAATGTTCTCAACTCAAACCGGAGAATCAGAGGCTCAAGTAAGGACTTAGTAAATTTTCTCAACTCAAACTGGAGAACCAGAGGCTCAAGTAAGGACTTAGTAAATGTTCTCAACTCAAATTGGAGAATCAGAGGCTCAAGTAAGGACTTAGTAAATTTTCTCAACTCAAACTGGAGAATCAGAGGCTCAAGTAAGGACTTAGTAAATGTTCTCAACTCAAATTGGAGAATCAGAGGCTCAAGTAAGGACTTAGTAAATTTTCTCAACTCAAACTGGAGAACCAGAGGCTCAAGTAAAGTACATGTTCTCAACTCAAACTGGAGAGTCAGAGGCTCAAGTAAAGTACATGTTCTCAACTCAAACTGTAGAATCAGAGGCTCAAGTAAAGTACATGTTCTCACCTCAAACTGGAGAATCAGAGGCTCAAGTAAAGTACATGTTCTCACCTCAAACTGGAGAATCAGAGGCTCAAGTAAGTATATACTTGGTAAATGTTCTCAACTCAAACTGGAGAACCAGAGGCTCAAGTAAGAACTTAGTAAATGTTTTGAACTCAAACTGGAGAATCAGAGGCTCAAGTAAGTACTTAATTAGTACATGTTCTCAACTCAAACTGTAGAACCAGAGGCTCAAGTAAAGTACATGTTCTCAACTCAAACTGGAGAACCAGAGGCTCAAGTAAAGTACATGTTCTCAACTCAAACTGGAGAGTCAGAGGCTCAAGTAAAGTACATGTTCTCAACTCAAACTGTAGAATCAGAGGCTCAAGTAAGTATACTTAGTACATGTTGAGTTTTCATGATAGACTATGATCAGTCAGACACACAAAGTATATGGAGTGAGCCAAACTACATTTATTTCTGCCAATATTTCTATTGTGTCTCCGAAAAATAATTCTTAGTTTTCTGGTTATCACCCGATCTCAAACTGGAGAACCAGAGGCTCAAGTAAGTATATACTTGGTAAATGGTCTCAACTCAAACTGGAGAACCAGAGGCTCAAGTAAGAACTTAGTAAATGTTCTCAACTCAAACTGGAGAATCAGAGCCTCAAGTAAGGACTTAGTAAATGTTCTCAACTTAAACTGGAGAATCAGAGGCTCAAGTAAGTATACTTAGTAAATGTTCTCAACTCAAACCGGAGAATCAGAGGCTCAAGTAAGGACTTAGTAAATTTTCTCAACTCAAACTGGAGAACCAGAGGCTCAAGTAAGGACTTAGTAATTGTTCTCAACTCAAACTGGAGAATCAGAGGCTCAAGTAAGTATACTTAGTACATGTTGAGTTTTCATGATAGACTATGATCAGTCAGACACACAAAGTATATGGAGTGAGCCAAAATACATTTATTTCTGCCAATATTTCTATTGTGTCTCCGAAAAATAATTCTTAGTTTTCTGGTTATCACCCTATACAGTAAAACACATTTAGAACATTCAACACGCTTATTGTGATTTCATGGGTATTGTAAACTGATTCTGATTCCCCAGCTTATCTCCCTTACTGTTTGTATTTATATGACCATGTAACTGTTATTGTCTATTACAAATCTAACCAGCATCCCCCTCAGGTGAAATGTTAACACTGTAGTACGAACCCAATTTCTGGGATTCTGGAGTCACACACCTGCAGTGATCTGAGAGGCAACTGTCAGTACAGATACTTGCTTATACTGTATACCCTAAAATCTCGAAAGTATCAAAGTCAGTTTCGAAAATGTACTAGCCTTGACAAGTTATCTTGGATTTCTTGCAATCAATTTGGTGCCAATGGTGGAATAAAAAACCCTGAAAATATCTATTGCTTCAGTGTGATTTGAACAACCCACAAATTCATACTTTATTTCAGGACCAAAACCCTGTGCAAATGACATTATTTTTTAACAGTAAATAATTGTGATTGTTTTCAATAATAATGCAACTACATATATGCATGGACCATTTAAAATGTTTCATATGTATATGTTTTGAACGACTGCTAGCGCTTAATACAGTAAATGAGTAAGTTATGTTTTTGATGACAATATAAGGAAGGTAGTTTATCCAACATGCTTTTATATTTTACTTGCCAACTCTCTCTATTTAGGATGGAGACTCCCGATTTCGGACCCTTAGTTTTAATATTTTCCAAACATTGAATTTGTTGAACAATTCCTATATTTTAAGATCAAATGATTTCATCTGGCAGAACAACTCCAAATATGCCATTTTAAAGTGTTCTTTTTTTCTTAGGGGTACATTATATACAAACATTTCATTTATGTTATAATTTTGAGCATGGGAATCTCCCCATGAAATTTTGGTTGGCAAGTCTGTTATATTCCCTGTACATGTATATAAACTACTAGTAAGGCTACTATAAAACCAATGAATTGTGTTGACAACCTAGGCACTGAGCCGTTTATTCAGTCTTAGACACCTCAGTGTGACAAACGCGTGTGTGTACATCATAACTTCTCAGACTTCTCTGTGACTTTGCACCAAAGGACATTTATAATACAGATGACACAGGGTTATTTTATAGGTGAGCTTATGTTAATGAGATGCACTGTTTTCCTGTGGCTAACAATGTGATTGAAATGACGGAGCATGTATACGTATTTGATGCATTTGCACACCTTGGAGACCCTGGTTGATGCAGCCTCTTTCATTGTGACAAGTTACGGCAATAAGCAATAATAAAATATCCCCGCGGTTCAGAGTAATAGCGGGGATTGTTTGTCTCGTGCGGCACTCGTTTTCTAGTTGGAGCAAGAGCGACGAGTGCTGTCACGTGTCCACGGGACAGGTGAGCGCAGGGCCTATAATATAGGGTCATTTCTAGTCGCTTACTTGGGACGCGCGGTGCACACCAAACTTTTTATGGGGATGTTAGCACAGGGTATATATATATTTGTTTGCAGTTCAATGTATTTGTTTATAGGTTGCATGTAGTAAATGTGGGGAGTTTGTGGGGTTTTATTATTTTAGGCGTTTTTAATGCTTGTATTTGCGGTATATAAACATTTAAATAATGTACAGAGTATGACATTGGTTTCCGGGTGTCACCCCTGAGAGATATCCTGCAGGGAGATAATAGTTGTCCCGCTCTTGACGCAGATTTCCGGGGGTTATCTCGGTTTTTTTCTGAGCGAGCGGGTTGATCTCGAGCGATGAAGGGGAATCTCTGAGACATGTACGTTTTTCAAAAGGGGTTCTGTATTTTTCGCAGAGTACAGAAAGGTTTGTGACATACAAGTGTTTATGCCATAAATGTCCATTAACTGTTATATGTATATGCTATCTTATTGTTTAATGTCTGATTAAACGCCCACCACCTTTAGACCTTCTACATAAATATATATCTTAGATCTAGAGTTTCCCACATATAAAGGAGATACTCTGACAAGATAAACAATGTAATCCCACTTACATGTGTGTGTATACATTTATACCTGACAGTTCAGCACCTGGTACCAAGTATTAGCACATTCATCCCTGAAATTTCATAATGAACTATTCCAACCTTTGAATTCGAAGAGTTTAAATGTGTCTTCAGGGGTGAATGAGTTAACCTAACCCATACATAAACATGTCTACTCTATTATAGTAATACTAGGGAGTTCAACATCATTTAGAGATGATTTATAAATGAGATCCTTCAGCTAATTACTTGTACTGAATTTCTGGATGATGTCAGAATGTAATAACATATTCACATATACATGTATATGTACCTGTGAGAATTAATACCTGTATCTGAGTATGTGATAATTAATACCTGTATCTGAGGATGTGAGAATTAATACCTGTATCTGAGTATGTGGTACTTAATACCTGTATTTAAGTATGTGAGGGGTGTTCATTCCCAAAACAGTTGGTTGTAACCCCCTTTTTCAACAATTGTCTATGTAACTTGGTACCTAGCTATAGGTGTACTGAATTTCGATAATGTATCAAATATACCCCCTAAATCTAAAATTCAGCAGGAATACTGCTGTATCTGAGAAGGTGAGAATAGTTGCAGTTAATACCTGGGTCTGAGAATGTGAAAATAAAAACGTGTAATACCTGTATCTGAAAATGTGAAAATTAATGCATATACTACGTACCTGTAATACCTGTATCTGAGCATGTGAAAATTGAATACCGG